TATTGTAAAATAATATAAAAAAAATTTTTATCAATTGTGTAACGATTTTGTGACGTATCAACGTTTCCTCCTGTTACCCAAAACTAGTGTTATTATCAATTCGGAGATAATATAGTGCTGGGTTTAGTTTAGGATAGCAGAGGCTTTTTTTTTTCGATTTTTAATGGCTGCCCTACTTTGTTTAGTACGCCAAGTATAATCCAGGTCTGCATATGGAGAGCTTCTTCCTGCGTTGCAAATACAAAGCATAATTCCTAATTATGGTAATTTGACATTGTACGTATTCACGAAACTCTCCTTATGCAAACCCGTATTACACTCGACGCACTAAAACAAGGTAGGGCGGCTGTTTAAAAATCGAAAAAGACCTTTGCTGTTCAAGATAGTAATCTAGGGATTATTAATTAAGATAGAAGGGAAGAAAAATAAGGGAAGCGAAGAGCAAATAGATGGATATTTATGCGTGAAAGAGGCACGAGGAAAAAACAAGGGTGATAAAAGTAACGATGTACAGTACACAGCAACTCTCAATATAACCGAGACCACGGTTCCAATCCGAAATCTTACGATACGTATATCAGATATTATAATAAATCATAATAAATCATAACAAATGTTAATAAACAAAATTACCATTTTTTAAAGATCCCTAAAAGTTATTTCTACCAGATTCGTTTCTTTTTTATTTTCAAAAAAGTACATCTCTTTGTCTCTTTATAACTTTTTATCTATAGTATAAACTTTTTTACAATTCAGAATATTTATAGCTCATCAAAACTCTTAATTAAATATGAAATAACATAAAAATAGAAATGTCAAATATGCATCGCTAATAAAAATAAATACGTATTAAAAAAAATAAATTCTTTCGAACTTAAACCATAGTTTAATACAAAAGAATAATAATAGCGCTTCCATAACCTAATAATCAAAAGGAGTTTGTTTTTAAAGGTTAAATAAGATCTCTAAATATTCTATTTATATATAAAGTATTGCATATTTCTGCTATAATTACAGATTTAAAAAAATAGAGGATCCAACAAGTACATACAAAACGGTTAGTGAAATTTAAGGTGAAAATTTTCATCCAAAAGGAAACGTACGTACGTACAGCACGTACATACATACTAAGATGTAAATTTGATTGGTGCAGATTACAATGCTAATACTGTAACCTGGCACACATTTAAGAAATGCGCGAATAAATATGTTCGACTTGTTGATAGTGACTTGTTGATAGTGAATTGACTTACAGAAAAAACTATTGTCGACGATTGGTCAAAGAAAATCGATCAAAAATTAATTACATAATTTATAGACTCGAATATGGACAATCAATCAATCATTAGGTCAATTATAGCAAGTTCCTAGACAGAACTTTTTTATTGATCACTTTAATTAGCAAAATTATTTCGCTTTTTATTAGTAAAAAAAGACATAACTTTTAAGTGATTCCTATCCAGGAACTTATCAAACATTTGATATATTATCTAATAAAAAAAAAGTAAATGATGTATTTTACGAGAATTTTCTTGATCGATCAATTGATCGATCAAACATAATCGATCAAACATAATCGATCAATTGATCGATCAAAAATAATTATGCTCAATTATTGACTCAACTTGATCAATAATCGATCATGATATAGTCGAGTCAATTCACTACTTGTTAACAATGTGGAGACCGTTAAGAAAAATAAAAATAACGATTGTTAACAACCATGGAGGTGGTGATGTTGCCAACAATAATAAAATTAGTTTTAAGAGTATAGGGAACTTTCATAATAATGCGATAACAAGATAGGTATGAGAATTCGATTTATACACTATAAGTTGCCTTTGGCTTTGAATTACCTATTAATTTATATTTAATGTTTATTTAAGAGATCAAAGACCGAAGAACACGAAAAGCGATTCTTCAAATACATTCTAATATGTATCATACAAATTATTTACTTATATGCTACCATCAGGACCCCTTTATTCGTGGATTTATTTATCCCTTTCAACGCACAATTCTCTCACCACACATTGACAATTTGAAATAACCTGAGCTACCATCAGGACCCCTTTATTCGTGGATTTATCCCTTTCAACGCACAATTCTCTCACCACACATTGACAATTTGAAAATAACCTGAACTCCAATACCTTCACTTTTACCACTATCATTCATCCACACCGTTCATCTTTTTTACATTATTATTTACATTGATTCAATTCATTGAAGAATCGGATTTTTGTACGCGCTTGAATTTTTTAAAGATCCCTAAAAGTTATTTCTACCAGATTCGTTTCTTTTTTATTTTCAAAAAAGTACATCTCTTTGTCTCTTTATAACTTTTTATCTATAGTATAAACTTTTTTACAATTCAGAATATTTATAGCTCATCAAAACTCTTAATTAAATATGAAATAACATAAAAATAGAAATGTCAAATATGCATCGCTAATAAAAATAAATACGTATTAAAAAAAATAAATTCTTTCGAACTTAAACCATAGTTTAATACAAAAGAATAATAATAGCGCTTCCATAACCTAATAATCAAAAGGAGTTTGTTTTTAAAGGTTAAATAAGATCTCTAAATATTCTATTTATATATAAAGTATTGCATATTTCTGCTATAATTACAGATTTAAAAAAATAGAGGATCCAACAAGTACATACAAAACGGTTAGTGAAATTTAAGGTGAAAATTTTCATCCAAAAGGAAACGTACGTACGTACAGCACGTACATACATACTAAGATGTAAATTTGATTGGTGCAGATTACAATGCTAATACTGTAACCTGGCACACATTTAAGAAATGCGCGAATAAATATGTTCGACTTGTTGATAGTGACTTGTTGATAGTGAATTGACTTACAGAAAAAACTATTGTCGACGATTGGTCAAAGAAAATCGATCAAAAATTAATTACATAATTTATAGACTCGAATATGGACAATCAATCAATCATTAGGTCAATTATAGCAAGTTCCTAGACAGAACTTTTTTATTGATCACTTTAATTAGCAAAATTATTTCGCTTTTTATTAGTAAAAAAAGACATAACTTTTAAGTGATTCCTATCCAGGAACTTATCAAACATTTGATATATTATCTAATAAAAAAAAAGTAAATGATGTATTTTACGAGAATTTTCTTGATCGATCAATTGATCGATCAAACATAATCGATCAAACATAATCGATCAATTGATCGATCAAAAATAATTATGCTCAATTATTGACTCAACTTGATCAATAATCGATCATGATATAGTCGAGTCAATTCACTACTTGTTAACAATGTGGAGACCGTTAAGAAAAATAAAAATAACGATTGTTAACAACCATGGAGGTGGTGATGTTGCCAACAATAATAAAATTAGTTTTAAGAGTATAGGGAACTTTCATAATAATGCGATAACAAGATAGGTATGAGAATTCGATTTATACACTATAAGTTGCCTTTGGCTTTGAATTACCTATTAATTTATATTTAATGTTTATTTAAGAGATCAAAGACCGAAGAACACGAAAAGCGATTCTTCAAATACATTCTAATATGTATCATACAAATTATTTACTTATATGCTACCATCAGGACCCCTTTATTCGTGGATTTATTTATCCCTTTCAACGCACAATTCTCTCACCACACATTGACAATTTGAAATAACCTGAGCTACCATCAGGACCCCTTTATTCGTGGATTTATCCCTTTCAACGCACAATTCTCTCACCACACATTGACAATTTGAAAATAACCTGAACTCCAATACCTTCACTTTTACCACTATCATTCATCCACACCGTTCATCTTTTTTACATTATTATTTACATTGATTCAATTCATTGAAGAATCGGATTTTTGTACGCGCTTGAATTTGTATTACTTGCTTCGGGATAATAAAATAACTATATATAGTAATAAGTTTGTAGGTATAAAAGGTATAAAATAGGAAATAGTGATACATAAATAAATATGAAATGCAAACGAATGGTTGAGAGTTTAACCGAGAATGTTCGTACACGTTGGAGTTTCACCGAAACAGAGGTATGCGATCGACGATTTTAAGGAAAAATTCTAACTTTACAGGGTAAAGTAACACTGGAATTGGGTGAGATATGCGAAAATGGTTTTAATTAAAACATTAAGTTTAATGAAATCTTCAAAATGTTCAAAGCGAACGATTTTTCGCGTTTCTTTCAAATAAGTTATTGATAATAATTGATTTCTCATGTAACTATCGTTTCGTCGTTTTGATAATCGTTCAATTAAATTAATATAGTGATCTAATATATGGGCGAAGTCAATAAAAACAAGCACATTGTTTTAGTAACTTTTTTTTTTAATCAAAATCGATAAAAAATGTTTTATTTAATTCAATAACTATATATAATTAAACAAAAAAAAATTTTTTTTTTATCAAGTTTGGTTTGATAGTTGAGATATTTAAAGTTTAATTTAAAAAAAAATTTACTTACCTCTCCATAGTGATAGAGGTATACAATATTATCGATTCTTTAAAATTTTATGAAAAAACGAAAAAAAAAAAACTATTTAGATCCGGATACACAATGTCGTGTACTTACCTAACTTAATAAAGAAAACTTACTGTCAATCGAATCTCTGTACGTATCGAATTCTATTTACTCAACTTATTACTATTATAGAATCAGAATCATTGATTTGGTATAAGATTTGTAATTCTACATGAATAAGCCTCTTCATAGACACATTTAATTTACTGTTGGATATTATTGTAAAATTGTATTAAAAAGATTACAAATTCGGTCTTCAGAGTCTGAGAAGACACAATCATAATATGAGTGCCACACATATGTATATAAATCGCTCACTATAGGGGGTTTTCTGCAAATGTCATTTTCATTTGACATTTTTTGTTTACTTTTTTGGAAACCTTTAAAAATCGTATGATGAGAACTCATGATTAGCTTACAAAAAAAAATCTTACCGTTATGTAAATAATAATCATATGGTAACAGTACCTAAATACTGAAATAGTTATAGCGGAGTCACTTTAGGTTATATTCAATTTTCTATTATCAAGGCTGTAATAATTTTATAAGCCACTACAGTAATGTTACGAGTTGGTTAGTTGTCAACTATAGATGCAACAAATCCATTTTTTATATCATAGTTTCATTATATAATTAGCTAATTAAATCAAAAAAAATCGACACGGATTAGCTTAATTAAAAAAATATTATCGTTATAGAATTGTATTAGTTAATTAATTAATTAATTGATTAGTTGTTTAAAATTTTTTTAAATCAACTAGTTGGTTGTTTAACTAACAATTTGGAACACTACACTACAGGTTATAAGGTTGTAACCTATAAACACGGCTCGAAAATGCAAACATTTAGTTGTGATAGTTAGCTCGTAACCATTCAATTACGTGGATTGTAAATTTATTTATAACTGATAATATAAAATTACTTAATACATATGATCAAGAAGTATCTTACAAAGAAGATGTACGTAATCAAACCAGTTAGTATCATATATGAGTGCTGCAAAGGGAAAAACTACAACCGGGCCTTCGATTATATTTTGTATACAGTTGTCCCCTAAGTGCTGTCTAGAGAAAATCTATCATCGGGCTTTCAATTATATTTTGTGATGAGTTGTCAAAAATATAATTGAAAGTCCAATAATAGATTTTCCCCAGACAGCACTTAGGGGACAAACTGTATACAAAATATAATTGAAAGCCCGGTTGTAGGTTTTCCCTTGACAATCTTTATAACAATAATTATATTGTTACGAATCGAATTGTAATTTATAAGGGCAAGATCAACTCGCCAGGGGCGTAACTATGATTTTAGTCAATATCAAAGATATTAGAAATTATCTTGGGTTAGTATTCTTATGTGCCTTACCTCGTACGTATTGTACATAAGTGTTGTAACTAAACCTTACCCAAGTTAAAGTTTTCTAAATAACTTCATTGAACTAATAGAGTCTTAACTATTCGCGGTTATATTAAGTTCTTTACGCTGTGACTCATCTTTGTTGTTTTCAATAACTCATCTTTCTCAATGACCTTTGGTCGGCAAGCTTCATGCGCCATCAAAGCCCCTCAAGTGCTTGTTATTGAGGCGTGGTTTGTCATGATTTTTGGAAATTATATTTTTAGCCCGTGTTATAAAAACTGTATCAAGGTATTGATCAGCTTGTATTTTAAAGAGATATATCATGCTAAAAATAATTATTTTCATAATATTTTTAGCCAGCAATGGAAAAATTAATTAAATGATCGGTGAACAAAAAAAACCAATCAATCACTGTTAAAAAATAATCAATAAAGAAATAGTTAATAAATCTATTATTAACTGTCACGGCTTAAACTGAAAACGGTTAAAGCTGGAAATCGAAGGAGTGGGTTTAATATCATTATATTAAACCCATTTAGTCTAGCTTATATCTATTTGAAGCTTATTCAAATGTGTAGTTTCTTTCGCACATTTACTATACATTCCCGAAAATAAACTACCATCTTTTGGTAGAAAAATTACACGAAAATTTCAAAAGTAGCTTATTTTTGGAATATCAGATTTTTGGAAAATTAAATATACTTTCAAGATACATATATTTTGATATTATAAACAACTTTCTTAAAAGTCAAAAGACAGTTTACTTTGTAAAATTTTGACTTTTCTATGCAGAAACGATTTGCGATTTCTTTATAATTTTTACAAAAGCAGGGGAGTAACTCACTTTCGGAGTAGCTTATTTTCGGGAATATACGGTAACACACTTATGTGGAAAACTTTGTATAGATATGAGTGGAGTTTATATTTTTTTTCATATGCTTTGTTCTTTTCAAGAAGATACAAGAAGTACAAAGAGATGATGCGTTAAGAATAAACCTTTGTATATGAGTGGAGAGTTTATTTTTTTTCATATGCTGTGATCTTTTCAAGAAATACAAAAAGATGATGCATTACGAATAAAAACTTTGTATTTTCTTTTTCTTTCATGTGAGATATAGGTAGAAGATTTGGTATTTTCTTTCACACTGAGACCGTGTTTGTATCTGTATTTGGATGTACATTTGAGGATTCATATTCAAGGTCTCATTTAAAACTATATTTATGTCTACATTCAGAGACATATTTAAGGCCACATTTATGGTTGATCATGTATGAATATTGTAGTTTGCAATGAAAGAAATCACATTTTGCTTCTATATTCATAGTCGGTTATTGTACTTGTTTTGCTTTCATAATTTGATTAAGAGTTCACTGATATAGTGTAACTTTGGGCGGATAATATATGAAGTATTGAATTGGTATCCTCCTAGTAGCACCAAAATATAATTTTTATAACATAGCTTTCTATAATTATTATACCTTGATGTAATATTACAAGTACACTATATTTAGAATTATTAAGTGCCAAATTGATATTTACTTGATAGTACCCTGAAGTATAATTTTATAATAATAAATAGGTTTAATAACTGAACCCTATAAATTTGATGAAAAATAATCTGTCTATTGCTAAAAATTTATGCTATTATATTTCCAAAGTAACTAAAACATTAATCAATCATAGCATAATTCTTTTAGAGGTTATTAAATCCAGTACGGTAATGACATTTATTTACTTATATAACGCTAGCACTACTCAAATAAGACAGGTAGCGAATGTGACATTATCGGCAATTACCAATAATGATAACAAAAAGTAATGCTGCTAGTAAATAATAATAATGATAATAATAAATATTATAAATAATATACTGTAAATAATGATGACAAAGAATAATATTAATAATAAACCATTAAATAATTTGCCTAAATCTGCAAGTGATTCTTCATGTCCTCCCATTCTCGATCGATGGTTTGATGTGCACTTCCTTATCAGAAAATCCTCGATCCAACTTTGTGTACTGATATCACGCTAAAATTCATGGCTCCAAATAAAACTATTACTTTGCATTTCATATCTCGTCGTAACAAATTAACTACAACGTTACCTTCACAAGATTCAATTACTATTCTTATTAAGTTAAAACTGAATCAGATAAAGCGTCAGAATTGAGAAAGGTGGTATGTGTAACTATGAAGAGTCGCTTATAACTAAATCATCAGAAATTGAACCAAATGTTGCGTTTACATTAAGAAATCGCGAAAACACATCGCGTGATGGGTGGACATGAAGAATCACTTGCAGATTTAGGCAAATTATTTAATGGTTTATTATTAATATTATTCTTTGTCATCATTATTTACAGTATATTATTTATAATATTTATTATTATCATTATTATTATTTACTAGCAGCATTACTTTTTGTTATCATTATTGGTAATTGCCGATAATGTCACATTCGCTACCTGTCTTATTTGAGTAGTGCTAGCGTTATATAAGTAAATAAATGTCATTACCGTACTGGATTTAATAACCTCTAAAAGAATTATGCTATGATTGATTAATGTTTTAGTTACTTTGGAAATATAATAGCATAAATTTTTAGCAATAGACAGATTATTTTTCATCAAATTTATAGGGTTCAGTTATTAAACCTATTTATTATTATAAAATTATACTTCAGGGTACTATCAAGTAAATATCAATTTGGCACTTAATAATTCTAAATATAGTGTACTTGTAATATTACATCAAGGTATAATAATTATAGAAAGCTATGTTATAAAAATTATATTTTGGTGCTACTAGGAGGATACCAATTCAATACTTCATATATTATCCGCCCAAAGTTACACTATATCAGTGAACTCTTAATCAAATTATGAAAGCAAAACAAGTACAATAACCGACTATGAATATAGAAGCAAAATGTGATTTCTTTCATTGCAAACTACAATATTCATACATGATCAACCATAAATGTGGCCTTAAATATGTCTCTGAATGTAGACATAAATATAGTTTTAAATGAGACCTTGAATATGAATCCTCAAATGTACATCCAAATACAGATACAAACACGGTCTCAGTGTGAAAGAAAATACCAAATCTTCTACCTATATCTCACATGAAAGAAAAAGAAAATACAAAGTTTTTATTCGTAATGCATCATCTTTTTGTATTTCTTGAAAAGATCACAGCATATGAAAAAAAATAAACTCTCCACTCATATACAAAGGTTTATTCTTAACGCATCATCTCTTTGTACTTCTTGTATCTTCTTGAAAAGAACAAAGCATATGAAAAAAAATATAAACTCCACTCATATCTATACAAAGTTTTCCACATAAGTGTGTTACCGTATATTCCCGAAAATAAGCTACTCCGAAAGTGAGTTACTCCCCTGCTTTTGTAAAAATTATAAAGAAATCGCAAATCGTTTCTGCATAGAAAAGTCAAAATTTTACAAAGTAAACTGTCTTTTGACTTTTAAGAAAGTTGTTTATAATATCAAAATATATGTATCTTGAAAGTATATTTAATTTTCCAAAAATCTGATATTCCAAAAATAAGCTACTTTTGAAATTTTCGTGTAATTTTTCTACCAAAAGATGGTAGTTTATTTTCGGGAATGTATAGTAAATGTGCGAAAGAAACTACACATTTGAATAAGCTTCAAATAGATATAAGCTAGACTAAATGGGTTTAATATAATGATATTAAACCCACTCCTTCGATTTCCAGCTTTAACCGTTTTCAGTTTAAGCCGTGACAGTTAATAATAGATTTATTAACTATTTCTTTATTGATTATTTTTTAACAGTGATTGATTGGTTTTTTTTGTTCACCGATCATTTAATTAATTTTTCCATTGCTGGCTAAAAATATTATGAAAATAATTATTTTTAGCATGATATATCTCTTTAAAATACAAGCTGATCAATACCTTGATACAGTTTTTATAACACGGGCTAAAAATATAATTTCCAAAAATCATGACAAACCACGCCTCAATAACAAGCACTTGAGGGGCTTTGATGGCGCATGAAGCTTGCCGACCAAAGGTCATTGAGAAAGATGAGTTATTGAAAACAACAAAGATGAGTCACAGCGTAAAGAACTTAATATAACCGCGAATAGTTAAGACTCTATTAGTTCAATGAAGTTATTTAGAAAACTTTAACTTGGGTAAGGTTTAGTTACAACACTTATGTACAATACGTACGAGGTAAGGCACATAAGAATACTAACCCAAGATAATTTCTAATATCTTTGATATTGACTAAAATCATAGTTACGCCCCTGGCGAGTTGATCTTGCCCTTATAAATTACAATTCGATTCGTAACAATATAATTATTGTTATAAAGATTGTCAAGGGAAAACCTACAACCGGGCTTTCAATTATATTTTGTATACAGTTTGTCCCCTAAGTGCTGTCTGGGGAAAATCTATTATTGGACTTTCAATTATATTTTTGACAACTCATCACAAAATATAATTGAAAGCCCGATGATAGATTTTCTCTAGACAGCACTTAGGGGACAACTGTATACAAAATATAATCGAAGGCCCGGTTGTAGTTTTTCCCTTTGCAGCACTCATATATGATACTAACTGGTTTGATTACGTACATCTTCTTTGTAAGATACTTCTTGATCATATGTATTAAGTAATTTTATATTATCAGTTATAAATAAATTTACAATCCACGTAATTGAATGGTTACGAGCTAACTATCACAACTAAATGTTTGCATTTTCGAGCCGTGTTTATAGGTTACAACCTTATAACCTGTAGTGTAGTGTTCCAAATTGTTAGTTAAACAACCAACTAGTTGATTTAAAAAAATTTTAAACAACTAATCAATTAATTAATTAATTAACTAATACAATTCTATAACGATAATATTTTTTTAATTAAGCTAATCCGTGTCGATTTTTTTTGATTTAATTAGCTAATTATATAATGAAACTATGATATAAAAAATGGATTTGTTGCATCTATAGTTGACAACTAACCAACTCGTAACATTACTGTAGTGGCTTATAAAATTATTACAGCCTTGATAATAGAAAATTGAATATAACCTAAAGTGACTCCGCTATAACTATTTCAGTATTTAGGTACTGTTACCATATGATTATTATTTACATAACGGTAAGATTTTTTTTTGTAAGCTAATCATGAGTTCTCATCATACGATTTTTAAAGGTTTCCAAAAAAGTAAACAAAAAATGTCAAATGAAAATGACATTTGCAGAAAACCCCCTATAGTGAGCGATTTATATACATATGTGTGGCACTCATATTATGATTGTGTCTTCTCAGACTCTGAAGACCGAATTTGTAATCTTTTTAATACAATTTTACAATAATATCCAACAGTAAATTAAATGTGTCTATGAAGAGGCTTATTCATGTAGAATTACAAATCTTATACCAAATCAATGATTCTGATTCTATAATAGTAATAAGTTGAGTAAATAGAATTCGATACGTACAGAGATTCGATTGACAGTAAGTTTTCTTTATTAAGTTAGGTAAGTACACGACATTGTGTATCCGGATCTAAATAGTTTTTTTTTTTTCGTTTTTTCATAAAATTTTAAAGAATCGATAATATTGTATACCTCTATCACTATGGAGAGGTAAGTAAATTTTTTTTTAAATTAAACTTTAAATATCTCAACTATCAAACCAAACTTGATAAAAAAAAAATTTTTTTTTGTTTAATTATATATAGTTATTGAATTAAATAAAACATTTTTTATCGATTTTGATTAAAAAAAAAAGTTACTAAAACAATGTGCTTGTTTTTATTGACTTCGCCCATATATTAGATCACTATATTAATTTAATTGAACGATTATCAAAACGACGAAACGATAGTTACATGAGAAATCAATTATTATCAATAACTTATTTGAAAGAAACGCGAAAAATCGTTCGCTTTGAACATTTTGAAGATTTCATTAAACTTAATGTTTTAATTAAAACCATTTTCGCATATCTCACCCAATTCCAGTGTTACTTTACCCTGTAAAGTTAGAATTTTTCCTTAAAATCGTCGATCGCATACCTCTGTTTCGGTGAAACTCCAACGTGTACGAACATTCTCGGTTAAACTCTCAACCATTCGTTTGCATTTCATATTTATTTATGTATCACTATTTCCTATTTTATACCTTTTATACCTACAAACTTATTACTATATATAGTTATTTTATTATCCCGAAGCAAGTAATACAAATTCAAGCGCGTACAAAAATCCGATTCTTCAATGAATTGAATCAATGTAAATAATAATGTAAAAAAGATGAACGGTGTGGATGAATGATAGTGGTAAAAGTGAAGGTATTGGAGTTCAGGTTATTTTCAAATTGTCAATGTGTGGTGAGAGAATTGTGCGTTGAAAGGGATAAATCCACGAATAAAGGGGTCCTGATGGTAGCTCAGGTTATTTCAAATTGTCAATGTGTGGTGAGAGAATTGTGCGTTGAAAGGGATAAATAAATCCACGAATAAAGGGGTCCTGATGGTAGCATATAAGTAAATAATTTGTATGATACATATTAGAATGTATTTGAAGAATCGCTTTTCGTGTTCTTCGGTCTTTGATCTCTTAAATAAACATTAAATATAAATTAATAGGTAATTCAAAGCCAAAGGCAACTTATAGTGTATAAATCGAATTCTCATACCTATCTTGTTATCGCATTATTATGAAAGTTCCCTATACTCTTAAAACTAATTTTATTATTGTTGGCAACATCACCACCTCCATGGTTGTTAACAATCGTTATTTTTATTTTTCTTAACGGTCTCCACATTGTTAACAAGTAGTGAATTGACTCGACTATATCATGATCGATTATTGATCAAGTTGAGTCAATAATTGAGCATAATTATTTTTGATCGATCAATTGATCGATTATGTTTGATCGATTATGTTTGATCGATCAATTGATCGATCAAGAAAATTCTCGTAAAATACATCATTTACTTTTTTTTTATTAGATAATATATCAAATGTTTGATAAGTTCCTGGATAGGAATCACTTAAAAGTTATGTCTTTTTTTACTAATAAAAAGCGAAATAATTTTGCTAATTAAAGTGATCAATAAAAAAGTTCTGTCTAGGAACTTGCTATAATTGACCTAATGATTGATTGATTGTCCATATTCGAGTCTATAAATTATGTAATTAATTTTTGATCGATTTTCTTTGACCAATCGTCGACAATAGTTTTTTCTGTAAGTCAATTCACTATCAACAAGTCACTATCAACAAGTCGAACATATTTATTCGCGCATTTCTTAAATGTGTGCCAGGTTACAGTATTAGCATTGTAATCTGCACCAATCAAATTTACATCTTAGTATGTATGTACGTGCTGTACGTACGTACGTTTCCTTTTGGATGAAAATTTTCACCTTAAATTTCACTAACCGTTTTGTATGTACTTGTTGGATCCTCTATTTTTTTAAATCTGTAATTATAGCAGAAATATGCAATACTTTATATATAAATAGAATATTTAGAGATCTTATTTAACCTTTAAAAACAAACTCCTTTTGATTATTAGGTTATGGAAGCGCTATTATTATTCTTTTGTATTAAACTATGGTTTAAGTTCGAAAGAATTTATTTTTTTTAATACGTATTTATTTTTATTAGCGATGCATATTTGACATTTCTATTTTTATGTTATTTCATATTTAATTAAGAGTTTTGATGAGCTATAAATATTCTGAATTGTAAAAAAGTTTATACTATAGATAAAAAGTTATAAAGAGACAAAGAGATGTACTTTTTTGAAAATAAAAAAGAAACGAATCTGGTAGAAATAACTTTTAGGGATCTTTAAAAAATTCAAGCGCGTACAAAAATCCGATTCTTCAATGAATTGAATCAATGTAAATAATAATGTAAAAAAGATGAACGGTGTGGATGAATGATAGTGGTAAAAGTGAAGGTATTGGAGTTCAGGTTATTTTCAAATTGTCAATGTGTGGTGAGAGAATTGTGCGTTGAAAGGGATAAATCCACGAATAAAGGGGTCCTGATGGTAGCTCAGGTTATTTCAAATTGTCAATGTGTGGTGAGAGAATTGTGCGTTGAAAGGGATAAATAAATCCACGAATAAAGGGGTCCTGATGGTAGCATATAAGTAAATAATTTGTATGATACATATTAGAATGTATTTGAAGAATCGCTTTTCGTGTTCTTCGGTCTTTGATCTCTTAAATAAACATTAAATATAAATTAATAGGTAATTCAAAGCCAAAGGCAACTTATAGTGTATAAATCGAATTCTCATACCTATCTTGTTATCGCATTATTATGAAAGTTCCCTATACTCTTAAAACTAATTTTATTATTGTTGGCAACATCACCACCTCCATGGTTGTTAACAATCGTTATTTTTATTTTTCTTAACGGTCTCCACATTGTTAACAAGTAGTGAATTGACTCGACTATATCATGATCGATTATTGATCAAGTTGAGTCAATAATTGAGCATAATTATTTTTGATCGATCAATTGATCGATTATGTTTGATCGATTATGTTTGATCGATCAATTGATCGATCAAGAAAATTCTCGTAAAATACATCATTTACTTTTTTTTTATTAGATAATATATCAAATGTTTGATAAGTTCCTGGATAGGAATCACTTAAAAGTTATGTCTTTTTTTACTAATAAAAAGCGAAATAATTTTGCTAATTAAAGTGATCAATAAAAAAGTTCTGTCTAGGAACTTGCTATAATTGACCTAATGATTGATTGATTGTCCATATTCGAGTCTATAAATTATGTAATTAATTTTTGATCGATTTTCTTTGACCAATCGTCGACAATAGTTTTTTCTGTAAGTCAATTCACTATCAACAAGTCACTATCAACAAGTCGAACATATTTATTCGCGCATTTCTTAAATGTGTGCCAGGTTACAGTATTAGCATTGTAATCTGCACCAATCAAATTTACATCTTAGTATGTATGTACGTGCTGTACGTACGTACGTTTCCTTTTGGATGAAAATTTTCACCTTAAATTTCACTAACCGTTTTGTATGTACTTGTTGGATCCTCTATTTTTTTAAATCTGTAATTATAGCAGAAATATGCAATACTTTATATATAAATAGAATATTTAGAGATCTTATTTAACCTTTAAAAACAAACTCCTTTTGATTATTAGGTTATGGAAGCGCTATTATTATTCTTTTGTATTAAACTATGGTTTAAGTTCGAAAGAATTTATTTTTTTTAATACGTATTTATTTTTATTAGCGATGCATATTTGACATTTCTATTTTTATGTTATTTCATATTTAATTAAGAGTTTTGATGAGCTATAAATATTCTGAATTGTAAAAAAGTTTATACTATAGATAAAAAGTTATAAAGAGACAAAGAGATGTACTTTTTTGAAAATAAAAAAGAAACGAATCTGGTAGAAATAACTTTTAGGGATCTTTAAAAAATGGTAATTTTGTTTATTAACATTTGTTATGATTTATTATGATTTATTATAATATCTGATATACGTATCGTAAGATTTCGGATTGGAACCGTGGTCTCGGTTATATTGAGAGTTGCTGTGTACTGTACATCGTTACTTTTATCACCCTTGTTTTTTCCTCGTGCCTCTTTCACGCATAAATATCCATCTATTTGCTCTTCGCTTCCCTTATTTTTCTTCCCTTCTATCTTAATTAATAATCCCTAGATTACTATCTTGAACAGCAAAGGTCTTTTTCGATTTTTAAACAGCCGCCCTACCTTGTTTTAGTGCGTCGAGTGTAATACGGGTTTGCATAAGGAGAGTTTCGTGAATACGTACAATGTCAAATTACCATAATTAGGAATTATGCTTTGTATTTGCAACGCAGGAAGAAGCTCTCCATATGCAGACCTGGATTATACTTGGCGTACTAAACAAAGTAGGGCAGCCATTAAAAATCGAAAAAAAAAAGCCTCTGCTATCCTAAACTAAACCCAGCACTATATTATCTCCGAATTGATAATAACACTAGTTTTGGGTAACAGGAGGAAACGTTGATACGTCACAAAATCGTTACACAATTGATAAAAATTTTTTTTATATTATTTTACAATA